TATGCTACTGCATCACTGAATTAATATACAAAAATCAATGTGACCTTGGATAATGACCAGCATCAAAGAAATAAGGCTGTACATCTTAAAGCAGTCTCCTTTCTAGCCAAAGACACCACTCTCCTCCATAGCCCCAGCAGCCACTGAAGATACAACACTAAAACCCAGGACACACACGAGATCCAGTTTGCCAAATTAACTAATAGGGAACACATACGACAGACCTTTCCCAAGCTAACTCTTACAAACACTGGTCCTCTATAAATCCTGCTCTTTTAATAAGAAATCGTATAAAGTTATCAGATGTTTGGGTCAAAGAGGAATTGACTGATTATTGCTTTGCGAGTTTGACAAGATATCCTAGAAGACTAACAGTGACAACCCATATTTTGGACTGATCTCATAAAGACAAGTTATTAGAAATGCTGCTGCTTTCTTAAAGATTCTGCATGTTTATATGTGGCACAGTACATGACTCAATGAAGCTAATAAAAAAAGTCCAATTAATACTATTAAATGCTGTGCCATCTCTATGGAAACTTCATATTTGTTTGCAGAACAATAATTTGTTTTCAAATTAGCATTTAAAGTTCTTGGCAAACTTATTATTTGTCAATACTTAAGAAAGCCAGTGGAAAGTGTTACAAGTTTAATCACATCTTTGTATAATGAGACTTTTACCAATTAATTACTACAGTTATTTTAATCTGCAAATACATGCCTTAGTATGTATGCACAAAGCTACATTTAGGAAGTTCCCACTGAAAAACTGTTTCCATTCACAGGCAACCAGTACATAGTTACTCTAGATGCACAAAGTCATTTTGACTTGAACCCCTACAGAAAGTAAACAAAAGCCCTGCAAAACAATTTTGGCAAACTCAGTGTAAAAACCTGCATCACACATGTTATGGAAATACTGATTATATAGTTCAAAGCAGAGAATTTTTAAGTATTGAGGAGAGCTGTTTTTTCTTCTTCTTATATCAATGTCTATACTGTCTAAGTATTGAGGAGAGCTGTTTCTTCTCCTTCTTCTTATATCAATGTCTATACTGTGAACTACCCAGATCTAGGCAGAACTAAGGAAGAGAAGGACTCGCTGTCTCACACAGCCAGGCAAGACATCCAGTTTCTCACCACAAGAAATTGTTCATGCCCTCGGTGAGGTGTTTAGAAAAGCCTAACGACATAAAGATGTGCAACTGAGACTTATGCACATATGTGGCAAAGCATATTGACTGTTTTGCAATATTGGGTTTGAAAGCACAAATTCAGGCATGTTCAAATGTTAGGATTCCAGTTTCACTGCTAAAATTTGAGCATATCACCTTCTGTGTGATGCACAGCTCATTTAGCATTTTGTCTTCAAAACGTGGGCTGGATTGTTCCTACTACAGAACTTAAGAGATGGTGACAATAGTTTCTCACCCTCCCTCTCACTGCCGAATAAGCATTCAGAAGCTGTAAGCAGGCTCCAAAATGGGTCTAGTTAAAAAAAGCCCCGATAAAATTGATTGTTAGGTTTGTTGTTGCTAAGCCTTTTATGCAATTTTCTTCCCACTTCTCACACTTCAGTATTTGTGTCTTCCAACCATTTGCCAGTTCAAAGACTAGAACTGAATAAGTTCCCTGAGATTTTTTTTTTCAGAGCAAACCCAAATACCTTGAGACTTGAACAATCCACTGCTAGCAATGCTGCAAGATATCCAGTGGAGAGCAGTCTAAAGCCTTGGGTTTTCAAGGCTGCCTCCTCAGAGCTGCATTATATTACTGCAGAAGTAGAGCTGCTCTTCCAGGCTGCTTCTCAAGGAAAATTTGCAGTGTAGAAAATGGTACGCAAGCTAACACTGCTCTAGACCTCTCATGGATTTCTTTATATTAGGAGGAAAATCCTAAGCAGCAAAGCCAGCAGGCTTTTTTTTTTCCCCCCCTGTAGTTCCACATAATGCTGGGCACGTTCTGATACTGATATCTCAGGATGCCTCCCAACAAGCCTAGCCACATGGCAAGGGCAGGCAGAGATGTCTTTACCTCCACTTATAATGTGACATACTCCTATCTTTTCCACCTAAACACCAGAAATAATGAAAGCCTAAAGTAAGTCAGTTCAAAGGAGCGGGAAGTAGGAGGTACAAGAAGTTGTAGACTTCCGTTGAGGAAGTGGACTATAACAAGGAAGCAACTTCATTATTTTGACATACAAGTGCAAGTAACAGCAGGATCAACAACCCGGCAGCTGGGCCTGAAGGTCAGTTCAGTTTTAAAAGATACATGGTAGCAACATCTCATACATCAATGAGAAAGCTTATTAAACTAGGAATAAGAATGTTTCAATTCTCACCATTTAAGAACTTATATGCATATTGGCCATTTATATAGCAACTTCCTCACAGAGGCTTACTTGCAGAACTAGGACATTGTCAATTAATGTCCATTAGAAATGCATGTCTACTATAAAAATAAAAAATGACTTTTATACAAGTTATTTCCCCCCCCTTCAGAATCAGAGGTGAAATAATGTCATAATGGGACTTTAAAATGCTCAATAGACAATCACTGAAAACACATAATCTGTTTGATCCTACCATACAAGCTGGCAACCCCAAAGGCAGGTAAGGCTGGGTTTCCTGTACACATTGGTAGGCTTAAGGGTCATCTTTACAGGAGCAGTTAGACTCTCAGCTCTCAGAAAGAGGCCTAGCAGGATTCTCAAATTGAATCAGGATGCCTAATTCACACCTAAAGTTGCTGAATACTGTGCACTCAGCAATAGGTTGACAGTCCTACTGCTGAGTCCCAGTAAGGGCCTTTGACAAGCTTGGTACTTTCGCACCTTTCCACATTTCTTGGGACTTGCAGTGTCCTAGGGGAATTACAGGCATTTGGCAATGGTCAAAGTCCCTAACTGGGGACTTGTAGAACATAGATGGGTTTAGAACCAGATTTCAATATGTCAACTTATTACCTTTCTCTGGTAAGAGCACTCACTTCAGAGGCAATTCTGCCTGAATAGGCTGAAGTATCAAGCTCTGGGTTACCACTAATTTTTCAAGACTATTACCAAAAAAAAAAAAAAACCACACTTACAAAACTTTAAACAAATCACCCTTTACTTTTTTAAAGGAACTCAATGTGATATCAGGACTCACACAGCATGAAAAGAATACTGCATAACTCACAATGAATACTGGAGTTCAAAAAACCCAAAATCCTGGTTAAGAAATTAAGTCAACAATCAGAATCACCTTTGCTACCCGAGTCATACTTAGTCTAACCATAACTCTTTGCTCTTTTTATAGCAAATGCATAGATTAAGATAAAATTGAAATATATTTCCTTACAGCATTTTATGTATCTGACATGTATTACATATATGCAGGCACCTGTGCATACATGTCTAATCTGCTCACTACAAGAACACTCAGAAGGTGACTGTTAGACTAGATGCTCCAATTAAAGCTAGCTGAAGTACCTTTAAACTCCAAAGTAGCTAATCTAAGCCTCACCAAAGCACCATTAAACAAGTGTATAGAAAGCTGTACAACACTGGCTCAGCTTCCCTTGTAAAAACCAAACTGCAAACTTTGCTATTCTTATGCTCTCCTTCTATCCTAACACATTTTAGTTCTGCAAATTTCTTTCCAAGCATCTTCCAGAGGCCATAGGCTAATGCACACATAATATAAGAAACACTACCATAGCCATTTTCATTCTATGTAAGACTATAAGGCCTTAAGGATTTCTGAGAAACAGTGGAACAGTAGGAGTTTTCCTTCCCTCTGACAGTCCAACACACCAGAACTCATCTTGGAATGGAACAGCAACCCTGAACCCATATCTATTAACCAGAAATGAAAGATTTTAAGGACATCTACTCACCCTATTGCATAATCAAATTAACATTGCTAATTGCTTTTCAGTTCTAGATTAAGACAGTAAATTAGCAAGATATGGGGAAACTACATTTCAAATGTTGGCTACTACTTCTTATACAAGACAGAAAAAGAAGAAAATGTTTTCTGGAGGCATATGGGTATAAATGAAGCTTGAATAAGGTTTTGTTTTTAAATTCAAGATTTAGTACAATGTGTTTTTGCAAGCTACTATTAGTAACTTGTCAGAGCATAGCAATTCATTATGAAGAGCAAAAAGATAAACACATTCTTCTGCTCTCTCAACTATACCATGCAAAATAATTTCATTTTGTTCCATTTTGTTTTAGCTCCTTTCAGGTTTTATGTCAATCTTTATGTATTCTGAACCAATAACTTTGTTTAGCAGAGCTCTAAGAGCTACTTGGCATAGTAGCCTATAGCTCAGAGGGCACCATTTAAAATAATCAACCAAAACTAGTCATCCAGTCCATTTCAGTAGGTCAGGGTGCCACCAAGAACATAATTTAGACATACAACAACTTTGCCTCTTCATAGATTTTCACATTTCTACCATATAACACCAGATTTCCCCCCACCCTTAAACAGCAGAAGAATGTCTGAAGTTAATTGATGTTTCTTCAAAATTTCGTGGGTTTTCTCCAACCTGCAATTAATGGGTCATTAAAACAGAAACATCTTATTACAGTGTTTGCGTCCCTTACTTTACTTCAAAAAAGAAAATGTTTAATGGAAAGATAACAAATATTAGGACGATTTTAAATGGCAAATACACTCTTTTCTGTCCCTTTGCCATCTTACCATTTCTTCCTATATGGTGGATAGCATTCTTTCAAAGATAAGAATCAGGATGTGTCTTCTGGAAATTAATAGTTCTAGTCATCTACCCTCATACAGTTATTATGCTTTCAGCTGGTATTGTAACTATCAGTGATTAATGGGCTAAGATGCACTCTAACAGCTCATCGACTCACAGGCACATTAATCAAAAAGCATCCACTGTAAGAGGGTTTTGGCACAGGGCACCTTCTCCAATACTTCCATTGGAGAGGTCCTTGGAAGATTCCATTCAAGAGAACATGATGCAATATTGTAGGGCCCTACCTTCACCTGATGATCCTGAAAGGTCTATGATGACATATACTCTCCCTTCTGGCTCCAAGTCAATCTGCAACCAAGGAAAGAATTAAAATATAATTTAGAGTGGCTCTCAAAACAAACTATAGCACATGCAGGAAGCAAAGTTTCCAAAGCCCTTGAAGCAGAAGTGCAGGCAGGACACACATGCAGTTCTATAGTTTACTAAACAGTCTTCATCTTTTGCAATTTACAAACATGCTCTAATAGAAGAGGGCTTGAGGACCTTGCATCTTCACTAAGGCAGAAAACAAATGCATGTCCTTAGCACTTTGTAAGCTTGAACCCAGTGAATTTTACAAGTCATACATTTGAACCACTATTTCCACATTAAAAAAGTTAAAAATGATAATACTGAATAGCTTTGATGGTACTGCGTTCAACTAAGTAAATATTCAAAGCAAAAATCTACCCTACTCATATGTAAAGTAAGCTAAAGTAAAAGAGAGATTGGCTCTGGTTGCACAATAGAGGAGGTTAAAAAATAAATATTTAAGTATAATCGCAGCACACGCAACTTTTGGCCAGTTCATACATACTTTCAATACTTCCCTCACCAGAAAAACAGAATGCACACTTTTTTCTCTCACTCCAAAAGAAACTGTTTTATTGCTGCACCATCATTCTGGAAGACTTCAAGGAGCCTTTGTCCTCATGACCATCAACTTCAGTAGGTGCTCCAGGCACAGTATCAAGCTACCCTACCTGAAGGTCTTTAGCACAATGACCCCGTACATTTAGGTACCACAGTGAAGAGCTCATTACAAAACCCTTAAGCATTCTATCTCCTAACACAGGACATCATCTCCAACCCCAAATACTGTTGGAAGTCAATGACTTGATAACTCCCAAAGTGCCACACAGCTTTTGCAGCCACTTGTCTCCAAAAAAAAAGTAAATTAAAACAGTGCAATCACTAGCTGTTACTTGCAGTTGTCACATGATTTCAGAAATTGTGAGTGAAGTCAGCATGGTATGCATTAACAATGTGTTTTCCTGCAATTTCTGTAACTAACTCAGATATTTTCACATGACCTGCTGCCTGGGTACTCCCAGTGACAGCAGGTCAGGCCTGGCCACCAGAGCTCATCCACTGTCATGAAGGAGGAGCCCCAGCCCCAGCCACCACCTTGAGCACAGGCCTGGTAGCCACAGGCCAGGCCTGTGGTGGGACTGAAGCCACAGCACCACTGTGGGGAGGGATGGCCCCGGGCTGGGCTGAGATGGAGGATCCTCTCTCCTCTATCTCAGTAGATTCTGGCTGGCTCCCCTAAGCTGACCCAACAGCATGCTGGGACTCTGCCTAGATACAGGCCATCTTAAATCTCGCTCCACACAAGTCTATGGCACTAGGAAAGATGAACCTTGTTCTGTCAGCTCTGAGCTCATGAGATACACACATTGCATCTTAAATCACAGATGGCAAAAGGATAAGATACAAGGATAGAATAAAATATCAACATATCAATAATTCATATTAATAACTTGAGCAACCCATCTACTGAGCTTAGCAGATTAGCAAGTAAATGAACATTTAAAACAGTTGGGATAATGCATCATAAAGTGTCCTTTGATCACTTTGACAACTCCAACTTGAATTTAATTGTTAATGATAATTCAAATGCTTCACAACAAGAGAACGTACTGCATCACACAGGGGAGGAAGTCACACATCCCATAATGATACAAATGTAAGAATTACTGATTAAATTACAGACTAATTGACATGTCAAAAACATTTTCTCAAAAACCTACCACAGCTTTCTTTGCAAAAGGGCTCCTTGATACTTAATCCTGTCTAGAGGAGTAGCAAACATTCTGAACTGCCTACCAGGACATAGCATCGGGTTCAGTTGCAGATGAAAGTCATCCCCTTGGCAGGGAGCTGACCTGCAAGTTCAGCACTCTGACCTCAACCTGACTCAGCAGCACTGCCTCAACCTGCTCAGCAAGCAGCAAGAACAGAGCCTGCCTCTTGATCGCGACAAAGTGCCAGAGAAAAGGCATGACCTTGAAAATAGGCCCAGGTATGCCAGGCTCGGCCCATCTGCTACTCCATGAGGCCACCTTCTTTGGTGAGGGCCCTTCCATTTCTGCCTTCCTCTTGTTACTTAAAAGGACCTTCACAAGAGGGAAGCTGCTACCATTTCCCTCTTTCTGGCCACAGCTGGCGAGTGCTCTGGGGTAATGGGAGCCACCCCAGGTTCACACAAAGGAGCTTCTAGAAGAGTTCAAAGGTCTTATGTCATCACAGCAACAGACCAAGAAAACCACCTCAGCAACTACTTTAAAAAGACAAGGGAGGAAATAGGTGTCAGCAAGGCCAAGAGCTGCTTAAGGAGGGGATAATGAAAGCATGATCAAGTGTTATTCCATTAAAAAAAGCATTGAATATTGAGTAAGGCCAGTTTTAACAGTTTCTGAAATAGCAGCTGTGATTTTTTTTTTGAATAAAGCTATAAAGCTACTGATGTCAGTATTGCTCATCTACCTTGGCAGAGTTTTTAAATGTGCACAGGCTTTTATGTCTAAACTGAGGGCTGCTTTTGAACAACTGCTACAGTACTCAACAGCATTTAAGTCAGGCATGTCCAGTGCTCTCTGTACCAGCATTATAAATCACTTGGTTGAGCTTTCAGTCAAGTGTTTTACCCAATTTTAAAGTCTAACCAATCACACACAAAACCCCAACACTATCCCTGCTGGAGAATCAGGCAGTGATTCTCCAGTGGGGCGGCAAGAGCTGGTGAACAGCACTACAAAGCATCCCTCCTGCTCATTTATTTTTAAATTAAACACTGGAAGCAACCCAGGACAGATTGGAGCACTAAACTCAAGTTTCCATTATCCATCAAGCGGACAATTTTCATATACAATTTATTCCAAATGTTGCCTATTGATTTTGATTGAGAATATTTGCTGATACTCTAAGTAGAGCATTTGAGGAAAGAAGTTTCCTTCACAAAGGAGTGATTTTCCAGCTAGGAAACACTCCCAATACCAATGGGAATGAAACTGGCATATTTTTATTTTTAAGTTTTTCGAATACGCCCCTTGATTTAAGTGAGCAGCTATGTTGACAGTCTGATCTGTCATACGGTTTGTTATTTGTGCCAAAAGCTGGCAGTTCAGTTCCTCAGATGACCTTCCATATGGAAGGCAAACAGCAGCACAAACTCATAAAACTGATAGGAATCCTATCTTTTCATTTCTAATCTTTCACATATGGAAGAAAGGAAAAGAATTGATTCAATCCTGATTTTGCATAGAACATTTCTAATTCAATAGCTAGGAGCATAATTGTACAAATAAATATACCTCAGGTGTTTTTCTTCTCTTCAATCTACACATTAAACCAAACCTAGGAGCTATAGAAGCTATAAGATGACAATGGGCATTTTACAAGAAGTTTCCTTTTTTCATACACTTAAGCTAACTGTAATGCAACAGTTTAGATGATTATTTTAACATTTTAGACACAGCTTCTAAAATAATTTCACTAAAATTTTTTCACCAAATGCACAGAAAAATATTACAAGAGAAACATCCTTGGACATATGTAACCAGAAACAGAATGACAAGTTTAGCTGAATGCAACATTTTTGATTCCAATGGAAATTGTCTGATCACAGCAGTTCTGATTTTGACTCTTCCCTTCAACTAAAAATATTTCTCTGAATGGAGCCAAGCATTTATACATGCAGGGAGATGCCATGAGAAGAAAACTAAGAAATGGCTGTTGAAAAGGACAGCAGGGAACAAGGCAAAATACAAACAAGGGATCAGAGAGAAGAGCCAGCACATGAGCTTTGCTTAACCACGTTGCAAAATTTATGGCTTGTACATCAGACCACATTCAACAACATGTTCAATGTAACAACCATTGGAGCAAAATATTTGAGCACCAAAATATCCTGGTTATTGGCCCATACTATTGCCATGACATCTGCTAAAATACCAAGTTTTAGTAGGTGCAAGTAGCTAGTTAGAATTAAACAATTTTTACATTACTGAGATATTTTTTCTATGCCAGTACAACAAGATTAGTACAATGACTGCTAGGAAACAGCAGATCTTGAAAAACTCCAGGCATAAGTAAAGCATATTAGTAGTCTGTTTCAGGGAACAAAAGGCAACCATCCATAAAACCAGACATATTTTCAGAGGAAAAAACCCATGCTGAAACTTGGCTATGTTTTCAGCATATTGAAGGCATTTATATAGTTTCAGTCATTAACGGATTTTATTTTCAACACCCTTCTGAGACAGTTCCCCATCTGTAAAATGGGATACTCACAGAATCACTCCCCAAGGCACAAGCTAGACTAGGAGGCTTGCCAGAGGCACCCAAGAAGGCTACAGCTTATCCAAGAACTGAACTGCCCACTAGGCTCTTTGTCCTAGTCCTCAGTTAGGATCCACCTTGGCGGACTCTACCCACCTTGTCTTCCTGCAGTATTGGTCAGAAACAACTAGAAACTGTTTTTGAAAACAAGCAAAGAAACACCCTCTTATACATAGCTAGCAGGCAATTTCCTTTTTCTTTCATTCAGAAGGGAGAAAAAAGGATGCTTCAATATTTCTCTTCAGCATTTCCTAAGCAGCTCTAAAGTCAAGGAAAGTTTAATGAAAATATGCAGAAAATTGAGAAAACTTCAGCTTTTCCTCAATGTTCACTTTCTGTAGCCTTTTAACTCCTAAATTCTCTTTCGAAAAATTGAGTCCTAAGCTCACCTAGACTCAGCATTTTCTTCTTCAGTGGAAACTAACTCCTATCCCCTATAAAGAAATCCAGCAATGCAGGGGTAAACAAGTACTCTTGTGTTTTGTAGCTAAACATTATGCCAAATACACCAACAATGAAACCCTCAACCATAAAGCTATTCCAGATTTTCAATAGCAAAATGTCTAAATCAACTGTAGGAGCAACAGAAACAAAAAGAATTAAGTCATAAAACCTCCCTACATCTCATTGTGATGCTCTAGGATTATCTGACATGGGGATAAGCATAAACCTCCAAGCACATGATT